CAACACACAACAACACACACACACAACCACACACAACAAGACACACACACACAACAACACACAACAACGCAACAACAACACACAACAACACACAACAACACACAACAACACACAACAACACACACAACAACACAAACAACACACAACAACACACCACAACACACACCACAACACACACAACAACACACAACAACAACACACAACAACACACCACAACACACCACAACACACCACAACACACCACAACACACCACAACACACCACAACACAACAACACACAACAACACACAACAACACACAACAACACACAACAACACACAACAACACACAACAACACACAACAACACACAACAACACACAACAACACACAACAACACACAACAACACACAACAACACACAACAACACACAACACCACACAACAACACACACACCAACAACAACACACAACAACACACAACAACACACAACAACACACAACAACACACAACAACACACAACAACACACAACAACACACAACAACACACAACAACACACAACAACACACAACAACACACAACAACACACAACAACACACAACAACACACAACAACACACAACAACACACAACAACAACAACAACAACAACAACAACAACAACAACAACAACAACAACAACAACACCATCAACAGCAGCAGCAGCAACAACAGCAACAGCAACAACAACAACAACACGAACACGAACAATACCAACACCAACAACACGACCAACAACACCAACACCACCAACAAACCCAACCACACCAACAACACTAACAACACTAACAACACTAACAACACCAGAAACACTACCACCACCAACAACACCAACGCCACCAGCACCACCAACACCAGCAACACCACAACCACCACCAACCCCAACCACATCGCCGAAGCCTTTCAGTCGCTTTTAGCAGACTCCCCTTCATATTTTTGGAAAGAAAATGGCCGCGTCGCTTTTACCAGACTCCACTTTATGTATTTTTCCCTCCCCTCTCCCCTTCATTTTTTCTTCGGTTCCTTTCTTGCTTACCTACCTTTCGTGTTCCTCCTCTCAAGTAATGTCTTGTTATGTATTGTAATGTATTGTAATGTATTGTATTGTAATGTAATGTAATGTAATGTCATGTAATGTCATGTAATGTCATGTAATGTCATGTAATGTCATGTAATGCATGTATGTATGTAGGTACGTGCGTACGTGTGTACGCGTGTACGCGTGTACGTGTGTACGTGTGTACGTAGGTAGGTAGGTAGGTAGGTTAGGTAGGTAGGTAGGTAGGTAGGTAGGTATGTATGTATGTCTGTGTGTATGCGTGTATGTATGTAGGTAGGTAGGTAGGTAGGTAGGTAGGTAGGTAGGTATGTCTGTGTGTATGTGTGTATGTATGTAGGTAGGTAGGTAGGTAGGTATGTAGGTATGTATGTATGTATATACACCACCACAGGGGCATCATACCCCCCCCCATCCCATGGGGGGGGGGGGGGGGGGGGGGGGGGTGGGAACACGGGACACGGGACCATATATAATCAGGATATCCTTCCGATGTCTCAGGTGGGGAAATGCCTTCGTTTTCAATCGAAAGTTCGTTGAGGTCCGCGGCTGGCAGATCGAGCACCATCCGGCTTTAAGAGCTAAACATGTGAAAAACATGCCTTCAACGAGCAGAATGATGATTCAACCATCTAACATATGGAATCAAGATGAATTAAGATGAATTAAGATGAATTAAGATGAATTAAGATGAATTAAGATGAATTAAGCCACGGAAATTGTAGTTTAAGCAGCAACATGTCAAACAAGCTTTGACTGGATCATTTCAAAATTTCATCATTAACTGATTATTTAATATATTTGTAATTTTGTTCATATCAAAGGCTTGTGAATGGCCTCTCCCGGCAGGCGCTCAAAGACCATTGGCCTCTTTTGGGTCAAGTGGCTTCAACGGACAACCAAACTTCCAAAGAGGGACGCGCTGTGGGCTGCCCTTTGTGTCTCGGCATTGCGTGGATAGCACCGTTGATGGGGTAATTTTCCAAGACTTGGGGGGTTCAAAGATGCGTGTGAGGTAGCGAACTCATGTCGTTTTTAATCTGATTGAACCTTTTCTTTCCCCATTCACTAAGCATCCGAAAAAATGAATCTGAGACATTTGACATTTTTTTTTTTAAATAATTCCTTTCAAAGTCTAGGCAGATATGGTGGAAAAATGGTTTGAATAAACCCAATACTTGTGCAGTTAGGTGTTTTTGGTGTTGCCCCGGCTCCGCCTTGCACACTTGTTGCGGTTAGGTTCATGAAGGGTAGAAGTGAGTGGCCCGATTCCTGTTCCCAGGATATGTTTCTTGGATGCAGTTTGAGCAAAAGGGAAGGACAGACAGATTTTACTTGGGCCCACATGTTTTTTCCACACAACATGATACATCATGTCTCCCCCTTTTTTTGGGGGGGAGGACAGTTTTTATGATTCGAAAATCATCGTTTCAGCAGAACATTGGGAACTTCACCCTACACTGCTTGGTGGTTTTAGTGTTCTTCCTTCCATTCAAACATATTTGCCAAGGACCAGCCTAGGGGTGTTTGTAACATTGAAACGCATCAGAACGAGTTATGATGACCAATCCTGGCCGAAGGGTTGGTGGCTTAATTCCCGGTTTTACCCATATGTTTGCATCAATTTGCCAACAAAAAATATTCTGGGCTCAATGGTATTTGCAGTGGCTGTTGTTTTCTTTGTTTTTGTTTTTCAATAGGGTAAACAGGAAAACGTGGTCTTGGGTTTTTTCCGTTGTTTTTTCAAGAAACTCCATTCACCGCAAATTATTTCCATATCGTCACATCGATGCAACACATGATACAGGTCAATTCCCCAGTTCGCAGGGCAGGTTCACACCAGGTAGGTATGACGCTGCCAGTATTAATCTGGTTGGTGGTTTGGAACATGTTTTATTTTCCATAATAAAAACGGGATAATCATTCCCACTGACGAACTCCATCATTTTTCAAGATGGTTATTGCACCACCAAGCAGTAATGATTGGAGATCGTATTTCAAATCATTAGTGCAATCTCCACCCAAAAGTGGAGAGTTGGACTCCCTCCCGGACAGATTCTTCAAAAGATGCTCCGCCAACAACCCTGGTAATCTTGGAAATTGGTACCCTCTGGTAATTTAACATAGCTATTGAAAATGGCCAGTTATAGTGGATTTTCCCATGAAAAATGGTGATTTTCCATAGTTATGTTAGTTTACCAGAGGGTAAACAACAATCAAAACGTCGGGTTGCCATTCAGAAATCTCCCAGGGTCCCGGGATTCTGAGCCAGTATCGTTTTTGTGACCATAGTTCACAAGCATTTCCCATGTGATAGTAGTCGGCTATCCGCATTGCATCCTTGTGCACGGATGGGCACGGTTCACGAAAGATTAGAGAGCTGTCCACATCCATTTATTGTAAACTATATAGTATTAGCCTAAAAAACAACTTAGCTATTGCAATTTTACGCTGAATCAACTATAGTTAAAGAGAATTACTGCTACTAATTACCCTATCGGGTATAACTACTATTGCCCTATGGGGTCATCCGCGTGTAAACTCATTTCGCTAAGGATTTACCCGGCCCTGGCAATGAACGTCCTGCAGCTTGGTTGCAGTGGATGATCTACCCTGTTGTTTGGAGCTTTGAAAGGGAAAATCATATAAAGGTGGATTTTCCATTGCCATCTTTGATTATAGAGGGTACTGTAGATAGAATATGGAATTGTCCAACGCGCTTCCATGATTGTGAGGATGTTTTGAATTGTCCAACCTGTTTCCATGATTGCGAGGATGTGTTATGAATTGTCCAAGACTTTTCCATGATTGTGAGGATGTGTTGAAGTTCTCATATGTTTTTCCTCTCCAGGATGATTCAGGATACCTTTGGTATGCTTTGGTGCACTCGCAGAAACCCTCGCGGGCGACCTTGGATGGCTACTTAAAGTACAACTTAATCTTTTGTGATTTCAATGGTAATATTCACCAACCAGCTTAAAACATCTTAAAACCAAGTCTTTTGCAAGGTATATTTGCCCGCGTGGTGCGTATAACATACACGAATCAGACATCACGACTTTCAGAGATTTGACCCTGGATGGAAGTCATTGCAGTATGGGGTGATGGGATCTTTGGTGTGCCAAGGTCAGATGAAATGATCAGGTAGAGATTCGAATTCCCACCTCTAAGACCGCTGGCCTGTGTTCGTTCTCATGATTGCTACAAGGTGATGCCCAGGTTGGTTCTCGTTTTTTTTGTTGGTTTATCACTAGAACTAAGTAGGGCTTTTGGCAATTACCACCATATCTATGGTTTAGCGACCAACTTCTACCTAGGCACCACCTGCTTGTAGGTGTTGCATCCAGAAAACATGTTCAAATTCCATCCAGTACATATCACATGACTCCCCAAGAAAACATTCAGCATATATGGGACGCACCATTGGCATTCATGGTTGAACATCGAATACCCGTTTCCGAAACGAGTCAAACAACATCAAACAGCATAGATTTGCGTCTTGTATATATAAGTGATTGGGATATGCTTGCATGGGGATTCATTTCATTGCTGAATTCCCATTGTCTTCGCAGCTTTTCTGAGGCCTCCTTTGAAGGTGAAAGTGGCCTTCCCTGGAGCTTCGGGGTGTGGCCAACCCTCCAAAAATCGGAGGAACAAGGTGCCGAAGATGGCTGGCTGTTGGGGGTACAACTCAGTGTCAGGCACCTGAAACACGATTCCTGGGCAAAGTCTGAGCAACTTCGCATTTTATATGGTGCTTTGCAGGTGTGATTTGGGATTCATTTTGTTGCGCCTAGATGTGCCATCCTATCTCGCTGAAATCAGAACCCCCCTGTTTCACGGAGCTCCAAATCTGTAGGTCCAATACTTTCCAGTTGCGATTTGTTCAAAGGCCGAAAGATGTTGAATACTTCAGCAGTTGTCATGAGATGGCTGTCTGGTTGGTGGTTTCAAACATGAGTTTTATTTTCCATTTCATATGAATGGATAAATAATCCTTCCCATTGACTTTCATATTTTTCAAGATGGTTATTGCACCACCAAGCAGGTTGTCATAATCTCATGAGATGGCTAAAGTATGGGTAGTGTTGACAGCAGTTGCATACTGACCGGTACTATCCAGCGGATCTGGGTCAAGCTTGATGACATACGGAAGCGCAGATGGACATTTGTTGGTGGGAAACTATCTAAGGTATGGAAAACAGGAAAAGCATGACAAAAACTCCATTTATTTTGTGAACAAATATGCGGCTACAACTGATGAATGCTGCAGAAGGTTTGCCACAAAGTTTTTGTTCCAAAACTTAAGCATTATGGGGTTGATGAATGTTGGGGTGCCTACAAAACATCCCCACCCAGGGATGGTTTGAGCACGCAAAATTACTGATGGCATTTCGTTTTGACCAAGTGAATCGAGTGTTCATTTGCTACCAACCGCCTCGTAGTTGCATAATTATCCATCTTGATCCTTCTTGGCTGGTGTTTTTCAATCTTTTTGTGTTCTATACTTGAAATATTCAACACTCTTCTCTCCCAGCTGTTGCTTGACCAGATACTTTCCGGTACTAGCTATCGAGCATGGCCCGTTTCTTGATGATTTACGTTTTGTAAATGATGATGTCCCATAGCTATGCTGTGTATCATCCCACATGTCCTGCGGGTATCCATCAATTCTTGGCTGTGCACCTTCATTTTTTCCGGGTCTTACTGATCATATATATATATATACATATATATGGCCATTCATGGTGTGTATTGATGAATTATAGAGATAATATGCTCCGACGCATGACAGAATGGAGAGTCCAGAAAGAGCTCCAAATTTGGTGGGAGCTAGTGATCGACTACCCCAACGTCGAAAGAGCCACATCTACTCAAGGACGTGACGGAAATGCAGATCTTACAGGTTTGATCTTGCAGTCAGAGGTTCAGCAGCATGCAGACCTCATCTCAAACTTCGCCCTGACGAACATAAGTTTTGATGCCCAACAGTCCTTCCTTGCTGGGTACAAGAATGTCGGAAGCATTTGTCCGAACAAACTTCGAACGATATTCGAACCAGGTTAGTTTCACAGATGCTGACCCTACGGCTACTTATGCTTGGCACGCCTTTCACAAAGGGAAATTTTCTTCTGTGCCTCGTGGCATCGAGGCTATTGCACCTCTTAGAGAGAGGGCGATCTTTCACGTTCTCACCTTTAGACTTTAGATATCTTTAGATCAACCTGATCATATGCATCGGATTATAGAGTTTAGACCGTTTGGGGACAAGCCTCCACATTGTTGGAACATTTTCTTTGAGTTAAGCTGCCACATGCAATCATGCTTTCTTCTTCAAAATTCTTATATTTTGTTATAGTTGTTTTTTATCTGCAGCTAAAGTTAAAATCTATACTTCATCAATATACACCATGAACGGCCATATAATATATGATCATTGGATATTGGGTCATATTTTTCTGCACAAAATGCCGTTCTTTTTTAACGGCACAGGGCTATCCTCTGGGCTGCTGGGAGATGCAGCAGAATCCCATCCGGGGCGAGTCGGAAGCTGGAGAACTGGCGGCCATCAAGGAGACCCGAGGGGAACCGATAGACATTGGAGGTACCGCCAGTGAAATTTTGTTGCTTTGTAACTCCATCCAACTATGTCATTGGAAACCCTTAAACCTAGCAGATATGTTTGGCCTATTTTTCAGGCCTATTTTTCAGGGAATATCCCCAGAAAATATGGTCTTGTGTCCCATTTTTCAGGCCTATGTAAGGGAATATCTCACAAAATATGGCCAGAAATATGGTCCATTTACGTACCTCCATTTTAGGATCCTGAAATTCCCATTGATTGAGGGGAGGATACGCAGGGCTGAGTTGGCAACGCTGGCCCCTTGGGAGATAGGTTTATTTTGTCGGATGTTATGTGGATATACTGGGAGATGCTGGGAGATAGAACCAGCAAGAGCAACACAACATGGTTCACCAAAGATCTATGAGTGGATGTCATGGGATTAAACAACGGGTCATACATAGCCAACTTCATCTACTTCATCTATATTCAGGCCAACCCAAATATCCATGTTTTTCTCCTTGGCAAAAAATTGATCCATTTAAGACTGTTTAGAGAAAAGGTGCGTAAGGGGAGGTTGACCGACCAAACATCGGGATTTACCCTCTGGTGAATTAACATAGCTATGGAACATGACCATTTATAGTTGATTTACCCATTAAAAATTGTGATTTTCTATAGTTATGCTAGTCATTACCAGAGGGTAGACATGAAGAAATCGGATTTCACAATCAAGAATGTGGACTGGATGGTTAACCTTAAGAGATGTTTGTTATTGAAACTGTTTATGTTGATAGTTCGGGTCAAGTCGGTCAAATCTTCAGTGTTTGTTCATTTTGGTGGTGTTACAGTAACAAACAAGACTTGTGGATTTGACCAGATTTAAGAATATTATAAGAATATTGAATAACTATATTAACAAACTATTAACTGAAACATTGGTTAAGATATCATACTGGTTTGTGGATTAACTAAAACATTGGTTAATATATGATATTGCTTTGTGGAATTGACCAGTAAAACACATTAACTCGACCCGAAAAGATACGGATTAGCAATATGAAAACCAACCTGGTTGGATGGGGAGATACCTGGTAAACCTTTGCTTGGCGAGTAAATTGTGTGTTTGTCTTGCCATAAAGGGAGGAAATTCCGAGAGATCTGCAGGGTACCCAAGATTGGCGTGCCAAGAACAAGGTGATGTCCGCAGTTTTCTGAGTTGGTTTATTCACCCGATCAGACCATAGATATGTATCAATATCTTCCATAGACACGGCAGTTGAACCACCAACATAGCTGTCATAAACCAACTATAAATTATCATTTGTTTGGGTTAAATCCCCATCTTGCTTGGGAATGCTTTTCCGTTGCACCAACTTAGCTATCAAAGTGGAGCAGCGCCTTTTGACGAGGAGTTGGCTCAGATGGCGAAATTCAAGGATGCCGGCGGTAATCCAACATGGCTGGGAAATGACAGTTTAACCATCCACAAATAGAGATTTCATGGGAATATGATGGAATAAAGATGGAATAGTGATGACTAATGATGGTTAATATCCAGTCAGAACCAACCAAAATCGTGGTACAATGGAAATATCATGCAATTTTTAGCGGGGCAAAAGCTGTGGGTAAAGTCCCTGATGTCGGAGACGCCCAAATGGGGATATTTAACAACCAGGAAAAAAGTTGAAATTTACCTAAGACGGGCCATGGTTTAGATTGCCTCCAGGATAATCTATCCATACTTGATTACTTGATATATAGGAAACCATCCCCAAAATGGCCCAACAAATCTTTGTGAATGGTGCAAAAATCAAGTGTCAGCCTGCGGCAATGCCATGGTTGCTACTTCAGAATTACCACTCTGGCAATCAAACAAAAAGAGGGCTGGGGCATCCAAAAACATATACCTGGACTCTCAACCCAGGTGCCCATAAGAATGGGTAAACGTATTTCAAACTATGGGAACATGTGCGAATTTATCATGGGTACTTTTTTTTGCCTAGATGGTTTAAAGATTCTTTAGACCGACCCAACATTTGTTAGACACTGACCAAAATGTCCCAAAAAAAACATCAACAGGGCCTATTCCTGTTTTAAAGATATGATTTGGGAGGTCCGCCAGTTCAGACAACCAAGATATTTCTTGCCCCAAAGTGACCCCCACCGATGGATTCTGACAACTATATTGGTATTAAAGCATGGTCACGAATCCAAAATTTTGGGTGTCAAATCGACCAACAGAACGGAATAGTTGGACTTGCCCTCTGTTAAACTAACATAGCTATGGAAAATCACCATTTTCAATGGGAAAACTCACTATAAATGGGCCATGTTCAATAGCTATGTTAAATAACCAGAGGGTACATAGACTGTGTCAAGATCTAACATCCTATACAACGGAAGCCTAAAACACCAAAAACGTCGTTGTTCATCATATTCCTCATTGAACATGCCATAAGGCTTTGTCTGGGAATAGGGTCACCATGGGTCACCCACTTCAAATGGTTTGTGATGGACTATCATCATTGTCAGGTAAAAGGGTCATAACTGGTGGTAAATTTGCGAGCCAAGTGGGGAACAATTCCCGTGATAAAGACTATCATATCAAGTTGGGTAGCTATATCCCATTATTTTTTAATGCATAGATCATTTCCCATTAGTGTTCATTAAACCTTCATTTTAGTTGGCGTTTTTTTCTCGAAACGCTTTTCCAATTTTGGGAACCGTTGGGGGGAACTATTCTTGTCCCAAATTTTCAGATGACTAACGGAGGCACCCGTTTCAGACACGCCCGTGGTGATGACGTCAGGACAGGTCGGAAGCACAAGCTTACTGTGCCTTGGCGGAGGAAAGCACAGCAGTATGTTTGATGGGTGTAACCATGGCAACAAGAAAGGGGTTTTAGGGATAGAATGGGGATATAAGATAATTTTTCCCCACCTGCCAGGTGAGGGTTGTTAGATTTTATCAGAGCTGTTGTCCTCCTCCTCCTCCGCCTCCTCCTTCTCCTCCTCCACCTCCGCCTCCGCCTCCTCCTCCAGTTTCTCCTCGACCATGTCTGCATCAACTTCCACCTCCACTTCCGCCTTGCCAACTCTTCGCCAAGCTCTTCGCCAACTGCCCAGCTCAGTGCGCACTGCTGGACCTCAACCTGGGACCATCCCAGCTCAGTGCGCCCGCTGGACCTCAACCTGGGACCTTCCCAGCTCAGTGCGCACCGCTGGGCCTCAACCGAAGATATGCCAGATAGAATGCCAGAAGGTATGCCAGATACAATGCAGATAAAATGTCAGATAGAATGCCAGAAGATATGCCAGATAAATTGCAGAATGTTTGCCAGATAGAATAACAGAAGATTTGCCAGATAATATGCCAGAAGATATGCCAGATAGAATGCCAGATGGAATGCCAGAAGATATGCCAGAACATATGCCAGAAGATATGCCAGGTAGAATGCCAGAAGATATGCCAGATAGAATGCCAGAAGATATGCCAGAACATCTGCCAGAAGATATGCCAGGTAGAATGCCAGAAGATATGCCAGATCGAATGCCAGAAAATATGTCAGATAGAATGCCAGAAGATTTGCCAGTAACAAAATGTATAAATGTCATGGCGGGGATCACACGAAGTAAAGTAATTTATGATATTGGGCAAACCTTCTGGTAAACTGAGAAAATTTGCTCTTGAAAATCACAACTTTTCATAGGAAAAACAGCCTGAATTGGCCATGCTCAATAGCTATGTTGATTTACCGGAGGGTTGCCATGGCAATAACCCCCAGAAGGTATGATATAAATAACCCCTCTAACTATATGGTTGTAAACTTGAAAGTAGTCGTGACCGACCCAGCCTGCAGTTCCATTGCTGCAGAGAAGAGGTGGATGTCAACGTTCCAAGCAGCCATGCCGGCGTCTAAGCATGGCAGCGCCAGGCTGATGATCGGTTCCCATACATTGACAAGATCACAGATCAATGCCAAGAACTCTGGTGAGGTTGGCAGCCAGGTTGAAGGAGGGGAGGGTGGAGAGACACTTCAGGAGGGGCAGCGAGGTCAGGCACAGGAGGTCCATGTTTGCAACCCTGAAAGGAGGACATGTCTCTGAACTCAATTCTGCGCAGATTGAGCAGTTTGCGGCGGCAGGCTTCTTGTGGCATCCGGCATCAACTGGCTCCGGCTTTTGGCAGCGCTCGGTCTAATCCTGTCCGCCTAGAAGTTCCCAAAACCCTTCATCACCCTATCACATGCACCAAACATTTTTTTTTGGCGGCAAATATATCTGTGGTTAGATGAATGTTTTCAGGAAGCCACTTTTCACTGGTTCCACACTGTAAAAGGCTGATAACCCCAAATGAAGCTAGGCCAGCGCATCCCAAAAGTGTGATTGGGGTATTGCTCACTCAGTTGGATGCAACTCCAAATACTTGTGCCGTTCCGGGCGACAGATAGATCGGGATTTTACACGTTGCGGTCGAGATATATAGCCAAATAGAACTGGATATATCTTTCTTAGTAAAGGAAGGATTTTCCCACAACAATATGCTATATGGGTATTTGCCCACAACAATTTCATAAACATGATTTTCCCACCTCAAGGTATGGTTTTTACCCACTGCATGGGATGGTTTTATCATGGGCAAACCGGCAACCAGGTCCTCCGAGTGGATCCCAACATCACCAGAAAAATCCGCTGAATTTCGTTTGTTTGGCATCCGATATCAGCATCGTTCCCGGTTTGGAAAAACCTGAAGCTTCTTTTTGAATATCAAAATCCATATCAGTTTGAACTAAAGGTAATGATTTAAATCCATCTAAATCCTGGTTTGGAGTTGAGGTAAGATTTTTTGGCAAAAACAGGTTTCCCCGGTTGCAGTTTTCTGAGGCCGGTCTGAGGTGACATTAATACCATCTGATAATCTATCAAACACGGCAATGGCAAACCAACCTTTTTTTGTTGATTTTCAAAAAAAACAACCATTTCTAGGGGATTTTTGCATTGCAATGTTTGATTGCCGGAGGGTACGTTTTTTGAGAAATATGACAGATGAAAAGGGGCCAAACCGATTTCAATCCAAGTTGAGGCTGGACATGGATCAAATTCTAAGGGGAAATTGCTGGGATTTTTTTTGTCTTAGGTAACCACCCCCAAAATCATCCAAAATCCTAAATTAAAATCATGGTTACTTATGGATTATGATTTATTTCCACAAATTATAAAGTTTTGACGAATTATAAATTATGTATAACCACCCCCATATTATTTTTCATGTCATCAAATTTTGTCGAATTTTTATGGTTGCGTTAAAACCGGCTTGGTGCTGATGGTTCCATCCAAGTTTTTGGTGACTAATTTGATCAATTTTGGGTCAGGGGTGCTCCAACTCATTAAACGATAGCCACAGCGGGGTAAATTGATTATGTTACCTCTGTTACCTCTATATTTACCCTACTTGTACCCCCCTACCCGGGGTGGAGCTTCAGGCGACGCCCATGAGAATGAAGCCGTGCAGAAGAACTGTATGAAGTTCTGGGACGGAAGGAGATGGAAAAATGGAACAGCAGTTGTTGGGTGCCCCCCAAATCCTTAGATGGGACCGTTACCAGCAAAAATGTTGATTTTTCATGATGATTTCATGAGATTTAATGGGATTGATTTAGATCTGCTGTAATTAATGGGCTTTGATAGGACGACTAATGAGATGTAGTGGGTCTGAGAATTGGATTCAATGTGATCTAATGGGATTTATCAACCATGATGCCGGGATATACCGGGATATACGTATATATATAATATAGCTACAGTTGCGAATACAGTATAAGTACAAGTAACCAAAAAAATGCAACTACTTGTATAGCTAAGTTGGTGCGAAATTAGTAGGTTCACTGTTGGGTCTATTTCATGGATGTACCGAACTAGTTGGACACTGGGGGCACCACCTTCTGGCCAATATCGCATTGTTTTCACCGAAAAACATTGGACGAAATGATTGGCAAAAAGGGGGGGGGGCGGTGATCTGAAAATTATTGCTCAAGAATGTGGGATGAAGCCCAAGGTCGAGATTTGGCAGATTTGTTTACAATTGTCCTACTGACTAATCGTGGATCATTCATTCTCTGGTTGGTGGTTTGGAACCATGGAATTTTATGACTTTCCATATATTGGGAATTTCATCATCCCAACTGACTTTCATATTTTGGTTGAAACCACCAACCAGTTCTGATCGTTTTGTTTGCAGGCTATTAGCAATTATCACCTGGTCCATTTCCTCTGAAAACCAAATTTCCATCAACTTTGCATATTCCATTACAAGCTTAGTATATGGGGATATCCCAGTATATCTATGCCTTGAAACATAATATACATCAGTTGGCTGTCTTCCCACTTGAGTGTATCGCATATCCTCTGTGTTTCCATATTCAAGTGACCACATCCATCCCATTGTTGTTTGGTTCAGTATTCATATCCCCGACACCAACCCCCTTGATCTCTACATCCAAGTCAGTGCCTCTCTGTAGTTAATACTAGTTAAGAGCTGATGAAACAACTGCTTGGTTGATTACTACGTCATTTCTGCATTCCAAGTTTGCGTTTCTGGTGACGACTTAGCCGACCATGATGATTGCAAGTGACCTGAAATCCCTAAAATGACCCGTAAGTAATCATAAGTACTTGGTTGCTTATATATATATATGTATCCCAGCAATCTCTATCCACCTCTTCCAGATACAGCACGTGTATCGCTCAAATCAAACACAGCGTGAGTCTAGATCAACTTAGCCGTTTTAGCCTTTGGTGATGCCCCGGTGCGTTAGATAAGTTGGTAAACATGCCCTCTGGTAAACATTTACATAACTATGGAAAATCACAATTGTTAATGGGAAAATCAACTATTTCGATGGCCATGTTCAATAGCTATGTTAAATTACCAGAGGGTAACTTCAATATTTTTTTGGGGTTAATGGTAGATATATCGAACCAGTTCCTATCATTTAAAGCAACAAACATCCCTGGAAGGGCACCACGTTGTAAATTAATTGCAATATTCATGTAAATATTTTATACCAAGGTATCTTGGTGCAACCATCAGTTTTAGGTGCTGAAATATCCCTAGCAAATTCGACGATTTCAGCCAACTACGCTAACCAACTCACCTCTCGTCTTGAAGCTGCCCCACTTTGTAAGATTTTCTTCAGACATGGATATGGGTGATTTTTTCCAGCCCAATGGAACCACACATTCTACTAGGTTTTTTTTGGCATGCACCTTCTAATGATTGGGATATCCAATGACTTGACCCATACATACCCAATTTGTGACCTCGGCTCCTGATGGCATCCGATTCCCATATGGTTTCCAAAAATGGCTGTATACCCCCAAAATGGATGCTTTGTAACGGAAAATCCCTTCTTTTCTAATAGATGATGTGGGAGTAACCCCGTGACTGCGGAAAGCTCCACATTTCTTTTGGTTAGGTTTATTATCATCTATTAAACTTATTTTCAATGTCACTAAGTTCATTAACCAAAAATGGAGGTTTCCGAAGTCAATGGAAATATTGCATTTTAACCAAATATGGTCTCATAATAAACCAATATTTGTTGCAAACAAATCCACTAAAATATGGATCTTCCTATTTCCGTTGATTAAATCCCCATTGTTTCTCCATTGATCCTGCCTTCATCGCCTAAAACGCGCAGGAATGTTCCATTGATTCACCACCTTCACACAGTGCAGCTGGGCGGAAAAACAAAACCATGTCTCTGAAGCGAAAAGTTGTAGAGACAATGATGGTTAATGATGGTTAATTATGGTTAATGATGTTTCATGATGGTTAATAATCACTGCTTGGTAGTTTGGAACCATGGAATGGATTTTGACTTTCCATATATTGTGAATAATTAATCATCCCAACTGACGAGCTCAATTTTTTCAGAGGGGTAGCTCAACCACCAACCGGTATAAGTAGTTATAACTGGTTATACTGGTTATTGTATTGGTTAAACCATGTATAACCACTTATATAACCCAGTTAAGGCCCGAAATACCAGTTATAAATGGTTTTATAAGTGGTTATAAATGTGGTTAAGATTATTCCATAAATGGGGTGACTTACTGGCTTGTAACTGGTATTTCGGGCCATAACTGTGATATAATGGGATGCAAGAGTGACATAATGGGTGACATAATGTTGACACATAAGATTATAGTGAGAATAGATTATGGTTCTCTTTTTTACCAGGAGACGATATTTCTCATCAACTCTGATCGATATTTATGAACGAATTATAGATGATAATCATGTGACTATGGTAAAGACTGGTGACATAATGGGATACAATAGATTGTCATAGATGAGCTGAATATCACCAATACTGAAATTGGATCTCATTATATAGGATAACACGGATGTTAATGGGCTATAAACGGCTACCAAATGGTGGCCGGAACTGCAACAGACCCCGAGCAGATCGTCCAAAAATCGCCGAGGTCGGAGCACGTCTTAGCTAGAAGCATCTTGGATAATGACCCGTAGCAGATGGCCAATTTGCAGTTAACAAACTACCAACAAAATGGTAATAATACCAAACATGATATGGGGATATGATGGCATATAATGAAATTTTATACATCATAAATAAAGACTATAGACTATAGTTCATATAAGAAACTTTGCAAGTTGGTGCCTCGCCAGTATGTTTGTTTGTTTGTTTATAAACCATAGTAGCTAGTTCGAGATAAACCCAACAGTTATTGGAGCTATGTTGACCAACTTAGCGATTCCGAATTGGAGCACCACCTTGTGGGGGGGGGTATCAGGTATCAATACCAAACATGATAAAGGGGGATATGATCGGATATGATGGGATATAATTGGATTTTACAACGCCATACAATAAATATGAATATATAAATATATATATATTTATTTATTTATTTATATTTATATTTATATTTGTACATGCATATTTTTTAAATTATATATATATATATACATTCTAAATATATATATATATAGTTATATATATTTACATAAAAATTACTTTACTTCGTGTGATCCCCACCATGACATTTATACATGTTCTTACTGGCACATCTTCTGCCATTCTATCTGACATATCTTCTGACATTCTATTTGGCATTCTATCTGGCATATCTTCTGGCATATCTTCTGGCATTCTATCTGGCAAATCTTCTGGCATTCTATCTGGCATATCTTCTGGCATTCTATTTGACATATCTTCTGGCATTCTATCTGGCATTCTATCTGGCATATCTTCTGGCATATATTCTGACATATCTTCTGGCATTCTATCTGGCATTCTATCTGGCATTCTATCTGGCATATCTTCTGGAATATCTTCTGGCATATCTATCTGGCATATCTTCTGGCATATTTTCTGGCATTCTACCTGGCAAATCTTCTGGCACTCTATCTGACATTTTATCTTCCTACATGAGGTCCGGCAGGGAACACTTGGCGTGGATACTCGCGGTTGAGGTCCGGCAGGGAACACTGGGCGTGGATGGTCGTGGTTGAGGTCCGGCAGGGAACACTGGGCGGGGATGGTCGTGGTTGAGGTCCGGCAGGGAACACTGGGCGTGGATACTCGCGGTTGAGGTCCGGCAGGGAACACTGGGCGGTGATGGTCGTGGTTGAGGTCCGGCAGGGCACACTGGGCGTGGATGGTCGTGGTTGAGGTCCGGCAGGGAGCAGGAGGAGAGGAGACGAGGAGAGGAGACGAGGAGGAGGAGGAGAGGAGATGAGGAGAGGAGAGGAGAGGAGGAGCAGGCAACTGACATAAAATCTAACAACCCTCACCTGGCAGGTGGGGAAAAAGAAACTTATGCTATACATACATAATTATAAAACTTTATATATATACACACACACCTGACAGCTGATCCAACAATATGATTATTTTTGGGTTTCAACATGGGGGATAGCCTCAAATCTAGTTTCTTTCGGTAAACAATGACGAAGAAACAGGGGACATGGTTTCATTTTTTGACACAAACGCATGTCTACAGTGACTGGTGGTTCTGTTACTGTAACACTTGTACTGTCTCACCATTTATGTTGACAGAATCGGGCTTGAATTGGTGGAATCCCACTGTTAAAAGTAGAGTTCGGATTGAACTCTGTGAAGAACTAGCAGCAAAGTGGCAGATTTGCCATGAAAATTTGGCGTGTGAGATGGGCATATTTGATCAGTGATTTGGCTGCTCCCACAAAGTAGTGCCCCCCCGTGAAATCGATTTTGGTTTGTAATGTTTATTGACTATGCCAATGAACCTGCCATAATCCATAGAATTCACCCATATAAATGCAATAAACTGGATTAGCCAAATAAACCCCATTAAATCTCACGTTAACCATTCCTTTGGGGGCCCTGCCATTGCAAATTGGCCACTTAGCCCATGAAACCGCGCAGCACTTGGCCGAAAGTGGGCCGAGAGAAGTCACGCAGAAAAGTCGTGCCGTTGGTATGGGGATGGTCGGGATCACATTTTTGTGGGTCGATGGATATGGAGATTTCCCTCCAAATCATCCAAGTCATTGGACCATTTGGGTATTGAAATTTATGGTGACTTGTCAACTTGCGGATCCTCCATTTCAAGAAGCCAATTGGCATGGGGTTAACTGAGAATCTGGTCGCAGGTCAGGTGACAGATGATGAACATATGTTGGGATAGACGACCAGAAATTGGGATATAAAATGTTACTTTACCTTGATATATCTTTGTGTGTGTTTACTTAGCGGGTCACAGTACATGGGTGAAACTTGCTGTTAAAAACCCGGGATCTATGGGAGAACAAGCTGCTGGGAGGCCGGGTTGATTTCCTTGTCCATGGTGAATTCTATGGTTTATGGTGGTTGACAATGGTGGTTAATAGCTATCCATAGTCATTACTGGTTGGTGGTTCGGAACATTTTTTATTTTCCCATATACTGGGAATGATAATCCCAACTGACAAACTCATATTTTTCAGAGGGGCGGCGAAAAACCACCAACCAGATTAATAGTGGTATTCATAGTGTTTAATAGTGGTCATTTATTGGGTTTTCCACTTGTGACTCTCCTGGGATTTCATGGTGTTGTGAAAAGTCATGCGATATATCTTGGTAAATTTGATCACGACCTCACTGTTCTCCCGAACCCTGGAATCATGGTTCATTTTAGGGAAATTATCTCCAAATGGCCTTAAGATTCAGGTTAGTGAAATATTGTAATTTACCAAGATGAATGGGCTATTCATGGAATATTGTTTAAGCGACACTCCAGTGTCGTCAAACATGGCTTACCAATCCCCGAACTAGCCATGAAGGTTTCGTTCGCTGGAAACGATTGTTGAACTAAATTTGGGAATCTTCCAGCACGCCATGTTTGATTACCAGAGGGTACCGAGGATTATTTTTTCCCATGATGACTTCTTGGGACTTCTTTACTATTGACTCGACATATGGATACCTTTAAGCAATTTTCCAAACATATCGGCGACAAGGTGGTGACCCCAAACGATAGCTAGGGTGTTTTTTTTAACCTACATTGGATTATTTTGGATCATTTAGGATTTGTTGGGACAATATTGTTACCCTCTGGTAAACGTTTACATAGCTATTGAAAAATGCCAAGAAATAGTGGATTTACCATTAATAGCATGGTGGATCTTTCCATCGTTTTTTGTGAACGTTTACCAGGCCGGGTAGATGTGTTGATCATCACACAACTACATGGCACCTGGTACCTTTTGACTTGATCGATGTCGGAATCACGCCATGTCAGCGAACGAAATCCGTAAATTGTTGGCTGGATCAAAACCAGTTATTATTAACAATCATTAACCATATAAAAACCTTATATTAACCATCATAACCATGGTTATTGTTGGACCACAAACTTGAATTTATACAGAAAGCTCCTTGCGATCTTCATCATCTTCATCCCCCTAGTCCGATGGGAGACTGTATCGGATGGAGCCTGTTTTTGGGGTCCAATGTGGGGCCACCACGATAATAACTTGGTTGATAACTACAATCACTAGGGTTTATGTTATATATTTATTTTTACATGCATAGATTGTATCGTTAGATGAGGTTATAAACCAACTTAGAACTAAGGATCCCACTTTGTAAGAACAAGCGTTGCTTGCTCTTAGTATGATGCTTCACCGTTTTGACTGTGAACGGGCAAGGAGTTGATGCCATGGTCAAAACATGATATGGGATGGGGCCGGGGGGTGTATGATCATCCATCCCATGCTGTGGGAATCCGAACAGAATGGATATGGTCTATGAATTCCTATGGGAATTTGAAGCCAGGATTGTGGTCGCTGATCTTCCGCCGGATCTGCCGCTGATTGGATCTACATTAGAATCGCGACATTGCACCGGTGACGCCAGGTTAAGCAACGGCAGATCATGTCTTGAAGAGCAACCAGCTGTTGGAAAAGAAGACTCCATCATCTAAACTTTTGCATGATTTGATCATCCAAAGTTCAGGTTTAATTGGTTGATTTTCCCAGCTGCTGAGTTGCATCCCATAAACTGCATCCATCTATATCTATATCCACCAATATCCACTATACCCAGATATTCATTTACCATGTTTATCCCATATCCCAGCAATAGCCATTTCTATTTAATGTTGAGCTTCCCAGCAATAGAACTGCCATTTCTGGCAACAGATTTCAGCCTCCTGTTCCACGCGGCCGGCCACATTTGGCCACATGGGCTGGTGACGATTCGGTGAGGATTGGACAGCAAACAAGTGGCGTTGGGGCCGGCAAAAAAGTGGGGTGTTGATCCATTTTGATCCCATCTGGTTGGTAGTTTGGAACATGATTTGTATGTTACCCAATAGCTGGGATGATGATCCAATCTGACGAACTCATATTTTTCAGAGGGGTGGCTCAACCACCAACCAGCCATGAGTTATGATGAAATTTGTATTATGGTGTAGGATCTAACCAACTAAAACGTCGAAGGAGCTGTTTTTTTTTACTATTTCAATCATGAAAAAATGAGATGTATCTAACAAATCTTGGATTTCGTGGAATTTTAACCAGCAAAAACGGTGCATTGTTTCGTTTACCATGAAATATACGAATGTAGTTGAGAATTATTGATATATTTTGGGGGGGTTCAACATCAATCATATGGAACCAACTCTTTCTTCTAATAAAAGGTGAATTTTGGCTTTCAGATCCCATCATAGCTTTGCGAAGAAATATGTAGATGGCCATGGACCCATGGACCATCGAATCTCATATCCCTCGATATCCACAAATCTATGGTATATTATATTGGTAGAGATTATATTATATTATATGGTTAATATATGGGTATTATATGGGATTATAATGGGATAATCATCTTTATAATGGGATTATATACCAATAATAGTCGTTAATGATGGTTAATAATGGTTAATCATCACTAGTTGGTGGTTTGGAACATGAATTTTATGACTTTCCATATATTGGGAATTTCGCAATCCCAACTGACTAACTAATATTTTTCAGAGGGGTTGAAACCACCAACCAGATATTGGTATTTCCTCATGGACTATTTCCTCATGGAAAATCATGGGATTTCATAGCTGATTTAATGGAATTTTATAGTGATTCAACGGGATATTAGTGGGATAATATTAATGGGATATATATAGCCCAAATGGGAACCATGGTGCTGGAATATGAATCCCAACATTTACCCGAACAAAATCACCCAGTTTTGTAGGTAAATATACCAGCACCACGGTTCGCAACAAAGGGATTGGCATTTCCTCATGGGCTATTTTTTTGTGTAATTCCTTGGGTTCACATATGGCATGAACAAACATGTTCAGGAAAGAGCCATGGTCGAAACATGGGTTACCCTCTGGTAATTTAACATAGCTATGGAAAATGGCCATTTATAGTGAGTTGTCCCATTAAAAATGGTGATTTTCCATTGCTATGTTAGTTTACCAGAGGGTATGATATGTTATGATTCGGATTCTGCACCATCCGGTAATCGAACATAGCAATGGGAAATTCATCGAGCTAAACATGGGATGTTCCATTGCCATCATCGTGATTTCCGCAGGGTTTGGTAATCGTCTTTTGGCCATAGCTAATGGAGGTTTCCCATGTATTTATCATGGTAGATGATGGATCCCCAAGTTGATCCATTTGGGTCCTTTAAAAATGGAGGTACCCCAGTTATCATCCATTTTTTAACGACGGAATTTTCCATGAAATAAACCGACCAGTTTGGGCATTCCCCAATTCCGACTATGGAAACCACACGCATAAATCGCCCATGGCATGTTGAGGGTGGCTTAAAAAAATCCGAGTCCCTTGGTTTATGGAGGTTTCCGTTTTGTCATGGGGTTACCCATCCTCCATTTAAGATTGGGATTGTCCATGAAATAAACCATCCAGCGATAAAGGGGTACCTCCATGACTATGGAACTCCCCATATGTTTATATCTCCAATAAGTATTGTTTTATGATAGATATGTAGGGGTAAATCATCAATAAACATGCCATTTTCTCATCAATATGGGGGTGCCTCCAGCTATAATAATGGTTGACAACTATTGCTTATTCCAAATAACTATGGTGTATTCTAAATCCCCATATTGATTGAAGCTCCTTCTTCAGAAAGCGAGTCCCTTGGTTTACGGAGGTTATCTGAGTCATGGGGTTACCCATCCTCCATTTTAGATTGGGATTATAAACAATCCATATAGTTTATCACCCATAGTTGTAACATAGATTATCCTATGATAGTTTATCCCTATGGGTGTAGATAGATTACCCTATGGCTGATAGGTTATCGGGGTAAATCATCCATTTTCTCTTTGGGATTTTTCACCCTAAACCATTCCATGGGGATCCATGGGCATCTAACTCACAGGCGGCGCATGGAGACGGGCGGTGACTTCGTTCCGAGGCGACGGACGGTGTGGTGTGCGATTGCGCACCAGCCATGGGATTTCCCCATGAGGAGATTATGGGATATATATATATATACATATATATATACATATGCATATACTCTATACAGTCTCTATATAGTCTATATATATATGTATATATGATATATATATATATATTGAAATTTGGGATATTTAACTTGATATAACCTAAGATTCTGGATTTCTGACATTATGATACGGTTTTTTATCGGGATACTGTGGATGGGCCAGCGAAATCCTGCACCACCAATTTTGGATCCTATGGCCCGTTGACTTTGAATAGTTACCCTCTGGTTATGTCATGTTATGTCAACAGTTTGCTATTGAAGCCATGGCCCATTGAAGTGGATTTACCCATTGATAGCATGGTGATGTTCCATAGTTTTTCGTAGGTTTGCCAGAGGGTAAAGTTTGGTGATTTTCCGTAGCATCATAGTTATGTTGATTTACAGGAGGGCAATGGTTGGCTCAGGGAAAACAAATCATCAACATTGTAGGGATCCGCAGATTTAACACAGCAAAAACAGATGGGTACATAACCATCGTGGGATTGCTGAATGGTTGGTTGAAAGGGCATCCAAGCCACAAAGTTACTAACATGCATATATATATATACATACAGCATTACAATGACAACAAAATATGGCTAACCCAACTGTTGGTTGGTCTTTTAGTACTCTAGAGCCTTTTGCCATACATGAATACTTGCAACGCATTTTTTTTGGCATGGTAGGGCATCTAAGATTGGCAATTTACCCCACATTGACTGAAAGCTGAAGAGGGGACCATGTTTCTGCCCAAGTTACTATGGGCATAGGTAATTTCAAGACCATGTTGATACAGTTCTTAGTATGATTCGTAGTATTCAGTCTATGGGAATCTCAGGATCCTAAAATGGAGGTACGTTAGTACCATATGAGACCATATTTTGTTGGGGTATTCCCTGAAACATAGGTCTGAAAAATAGGCCTTATATATGGTAGATACCTCCAATAAATTGTTTTTTTCTTTGTTGCCAGAATCTGAAAAAAATTAATGACCCGACCTTGACGGATTCACGCGGGGTAACGGGGTAACCGCTGACTTGACCTTAAAAGGTGGTGTTTCACCATTATAGTGGATGTTCACCATTTTTCATGGGAAAATCAACTATAAAATGGCCATTTTATAGTGGATTTTCGAATGAATAGCATGGTGATTTTCCATAGTTATGTTAACCTTTACCACAGGATATATATGGGATTATGTCATGATATGTTTCACCTCAGTGATATCTGCCATAAACCTGTTTTTTTTTGTGTTTTAGTAAAATTACTGATGCAGCTATTGTTTGGGGCCCATTCCTTGTAGCACTTTGTGTCCAAGAGTCATGTCTTTTGGTGAACGTTGAGAAGCCGCCTGAATTCAGAAACCTCATTGTCGGTAACCTAGCATGTTGAGAAGGGTGCTATGGCAGTCAAAATGGGGAATTACCCTCCAGTAAATCAACATATTTGGACCTTGAATAGTTCGTCAGTCTTTGAGTGGAAACTAAGCTTCCAACCCCCGACTCATGGCATGGTTGATGTTAGTTGGAGGGATGGTGACCGGTCAGATGTATGCTTAACCCAGAAATCACATGTTATTGGACAAGTTCATCGATGAGAATTCATAGAGACCATAGTAATGAAAACAACCAATTGCAATGAGAATTTAACGAGTAATGGGGAAATAGGGATGTTGTTTTGAGTTGAAAGATGCTGAAATTTCCACAGAATGATTTGACAGACAAAAGACAATGACCAAAAAAGCAGTACCATCTGGTTATTTAACAGTTCGCCATGGAAAATCACCATTTTTAAGAACGGTTATTTCTATGGGCCATGGCTTCCATGGTTATGTTAGCCATAACCAGATGGTAAACACATCAGACTGAGAGCATCTCACCAACAGAACAACTCAGCCGAGCCATCCTAAGAGATGGCCGTGGTTTTTCTCCAATGATTGCTGAGTTGGCGGAATTGTAAGGGCAACAAATGAAGTGATCATTAAGAACAACATCTGGTTGGTGGTTTCGAACATGTTTCTTTTTCCATTTCATAAAAAGGGATGTCATCCTTCCGATTGACTTACTCCATGATTTTTCAGAGGGGTGGCGAAAAACCACAATCCAGACATACACCGCGAAGGAACTGACTATTGAAACCGGATCCCTAGAGGGTTTATGAAAGCCCAAGCGTTGGGTTTGAGGCAGGACTGTAACTCCATGTTGCGTGTTCTCAAATCAGTGGAAAGTCAATGGTTTGCTATGTCTTCTGGTTGGTGGTTTGGAACATGAATTTTATGACTTTCCATATATTGGGAATAATCACCCCAATTGATTTTAATATTTTTCAGAGGGGTTGCAACCACCAACCAGATTCTATGTTTGAAGGTTTAAAGAAATAATGGCACATACCCCATTTCCCGGGCTTAAACTTTGCCAACAAACTCACCTTGTAACCGTCAAGGTGATTTTTATTCTCCCCATGTTGTCAAGTTGGTTTGTTTTATCATATCTCCATTATTGTCCCATGATTACTGTTGAATTTCCTTATTAATCTACTCTTCATCTAGCACAACTAGTTGTTTGCTATTTGTTACTAGTATTACGGGCAAACACCTCGATTTGCCCGCGCTTGTCGGCGGCCACCTTCGTATGTGCTGAAAACGTGGTAAACATGGGAGTTTTTTGCATCATGGCTAACTTCATGTTGTATATCGGCATGCACAGCATAGGGACCTGTGCGGGTCTCTTACACATCCACATCATCATCATCACCATCATCATCATCATCATCAAACCCTTATTGAAGATCTTCACTGAATGTAGAAGTTTAACGGTGGTGGGAGAATTAAACCCTTATTGAAGATCTTCAATGAATGTAGAAGTCTAACGGGGGTGGGAGAATAAAACCCTTATTGAAGATCTTCAATGAATGTAGAAGTTTAACGGGGGTGGGAAATTTATATTCCCTAAATACCCTTGTTGATCTTCCCAATTGAATGTAAAGTCTAACGTTTGATATCCCCAAGTGTACAGCATAGAAGGGGTGTGGGCGAATCTGGGTGTTTGCGCATAATATTACCCATCAATACACTACTATTAATGGTTAGTAGCAGATATTAGCATTATTCTAGTAATATCACTAGTTGTTTACTTATGAAACAGTGTTCACTACTATTCTTCATTCGTGAAAACTATCACTGAAATTGCGATGATCCCGCCACACTCCATCGTGGCACTTTCCATTGCCATGGCATTTTCCACAGCCAGGCGCATTCTCTTCACGGGGGGTGCAGGCTTCATTGGGTGTGGCCCTCGGATTCAGTCCTGTGCACACAGACACACACACACACATTCACACATTCACAGAAAAAAAGAAACACCCGGAGACCTAGTGACCACGCCATGGGAGACCGAGCCCCAGTGACGCCGCCAAAAAGGGCCGCCTGTGAAAGCGCCGCCAACCAAGCTTCCAGCGCACCAGCACTGCCCAAGGCTACACACCGATGCCGCACCCGGACAGTGGTGGCTCCGTGAAGACTTCCCACAGGGACTACCGCCACCGCCCCCAGCCCCCGAGCCACAGAGTCAACAGGTGGAGTCGCAGGCGTCCAGTTGTCGCATCAGTCGTCACGACTGGATGAACTGAACTCCACCAACTTTTGAGTGTATGGTAGATGTAGATTTTGTTTTTTGCGCCAGAAAATTATGGATCCCAATTCCCAATCATCGAAGATATTGGTGTTTTTCCATTTGTTTATAAACCAACTTATAGCTGGTGGGGCACCACCTTACATGAATCGTATCCGATTGAAAACCATGGCTATTACAGTGTGTTATAATCGGTTAGATCCATCCACAGGAAAGGAAACACCATAAGCCATCGTTGATTTGAAACCCTGTTCCTGATAAAACCCAGCGACAAACTGCATAAACCCCAGTTCTACCCTCTGGTAAACTAACATAACTATGGAAAAACACATTTTTAATGGGAAAACTCACTAAAAATGGCAATGTTCAATAGCGAACTGTTAAATTACCAGAGGGTACATTATGCAACGCATCAATATTTTTTTTGGGGGGAAAGGCAGTGCAATCCTGAAAGCCCCGATCAATGGGAACGCACATATGGGTCTCACATCTGGAAATTCAATGAGTATGAGAGAGAACACTGAAATAAACATGGCAAAATCTTGACTGAGTAAAACACATATTCCAGGGCCCCATCTTAAGCTTATCGAGCCCCTGAAAACATCTGAATTCAAAGGTGACCCGAGTTTGACCCGCTGACCTGCTCTCTTGGTCCACAGCAGAATCCCATGATTCAACATATAACACATGGTAATAGCCCAACCAAAATGGTGATAGCAGGCATGGATAGAATGGGATGCAGATTTAATAAATAGAATCAGCAAGGACTCTGTTTTGGAGTTGTCCAAAGTCAAGTCAAATGATTTGCGAAAAAATATGATCGTGGTTTGGAACATTAATTTTATTTTTCCATATATTGGGAATTTCGTCATCCCAACTGACGAACTCATATTTTTCAGAGGGGTGGCAAAAAACCAGCAACCAGACCCGTTAACTCTGCCCTTTCGATCTCTTGCTGCTTTGTTTGGTTCCAAAGATGACCGAGGATGCGATAAGCGCCATGAATTTTGCAGCATGTAAGCTCTGCACTTTACCAGAGGGTATATCCACTAAGATTCACTAAGATCCATGTTTTTTGTTGATTAAACCATATCAAATCACCATGAAATCACGTTAAACCATATTAAATCACCATTAAATCCCATTAAACCATATTAAATCACCATTCAACCCCATTAAACCGCCATATTAACCATATTAAACCACCATATAATAGCTTGGTTACAGTGAAGCTACAGGGCGGATGAAGCTGTGAAGATCTCCTTGTGCGAAAGCCGTACATCGAAGTTCTTCGAGGAGCGAAAGCTATGCTGAAGTAAGCGGTGACATTTATTTGTTAATAAATCCATCTAGCTACATATCTCTATATATATATATGTATGTATATATATACATATACATATATTGTATATGTATACACAGATATCCCATAAACCCTAATTGCGATTAACCAATATTGGGGCCAAAGACTGATTTATTTTATTCCCATATAAAAGATATTTAGTTGGGCCCATTTTTCACCTACGCAGTTCCATCGAGGTCCAATGTCCTGATCTTCCTGGTGAGCAAGTATCCTGAGGCGCAATGTCTGACCAATCTGTATTTTGTTTGGTTCAAATGGAGGTCTTAATGGGAAAACCATAGGAAAACCATAGGAAAACCATAGGAAAATGAAGGTTTACTCTCTGGTAATTGAAGCCATAAAATTATGGTGGTATATTCATCAACGGTATATCCCACAAAAATACCGGATAAGTTGGGAGAAGGTGTATACCAGGTACCCTCTGGTAATTTGTTACATTTCGCGAACTGGACAATGGCCATAGATGCCATAGAAATAGTGAGTTTCCCCATTAATAGCCTGGTGATTTTCCATAGCTATGTTAGTTTACCAGAGGGTAAAATGATTTTTTTTTTTAAATGTTTCATTTGTTACTTGTCCTTGTCTTTTTTTTGGCTGAATGTAAGCCATGTGAAGCCAGTTCTAGTGCTGGTTCCTTCTGTTAAGTAACTTCATGACGCCTTTTCCGCCAGGAAGGAACGTGACGAGTTCAAGTTCGCTAAGTATAGGTGTTATTTCACGGTTTCAACAACTCAATCTATGTCAGATGTTTAAACCTCTAGTGAAATAGACCAACTTAGCTATTGAACTTCATGTTGTATCTTTACTTCATTGGGTTTCACGGTTTCTAGATCAACAAACATTTTTTTTGGGCACCACCTTGTACATTTTCTGCTCAGTGAGCCACTTCTTTTGTCAGCCTGTGCGACAGTCTACTGTAACACAGTCTGAACATCTGTAACTCAGAGTTGTCTAGGAAAAAGCACATGTAGCAACTGCATACCTTTGTTCCATGGGGTGCAAATCGGGGAAGCTTCATAGCAAAGTGATCACAAGACATTTATCGGTTGTTTCCCCTGAAAAGGCAGGTTCATCAATACACAAACAACTTCAATCCATTTTTTCAGGAATGCCATGGCACAGGATGACCATAAACCATATGTAAATTGACGCCACCATAAATATATGGCTATGGAGCCTGTCAATGGGACAAAAAAGGACCCTAAAATCGAGGACTGCAGCATATAAAAACCATATGTTTTCTGGGTTTATTCCCTTACATCGCCCTAAAAATAGGCCTGACTAATATGGAATGCATTAATTTTCTCATCAGGCGATCCCTGGGCCAGGGGGGCTTTCCGGTACAAAACAAGTCCCAACAAAACCAATCCATTGATCATCTATCCATCAGCATATATTAGATACATCATCTATATACTTACTAGCTATGTACTAATATAGCAATACTAACAATGTACTAATCTAAATTGTCCAAAAATTGGGTACCTGAAACGGCCATCGAAAAAACATGTGCCTCAGGTCACCTTCGTTTGCCTCGACAACTTGTCGGAAGGTGTGGGAAAATCACTGAGAATCATGGGAAATTCCATCGCTGTGTGGTGAAATTCATGGAAAAAAACATGTGGACAGTATGTAAGAAGAACATGTCCATTGACAGGTGAGATTTTTAGACTTGTGAGCCCGGAAAAAAAAGTGGTGCTCGTTTGGCGTGAACAAAAACATCCAAACATGTTTTTTCTGCAGCGAGTTTCCGAATTCGACATGAGGATGTCTTGCGCGCTGTTTCGCTGTTGGCTTCAAAACAGCTTTCCCATTGCTAGATTCAGGTTCATGATGAGTCTTTGGAACCCGTCGTTTCTCTGTTCGGATGTTTTTTCTTGGTTTCTCATGATAATCCCACTATATCCTAGAGATTGATGGATATCAGGGCATGAATACCCAGTAATATCCATAAGATACCCTCCGGTAAACTAACCTAATTCCAAAATCACCATTTTTCATGGAAAAATCTAGTATAAATGGCACATTTCAATAGCTATGTTAGTTTACCAAAGGGTAAACCTCCATTTTGCTATGGTTGTCCTATGATTTTCGTATGGTTTTCCCATTAAAGTACAGTAAAAAGTACCCTTTCCGGGGGTTCCAACCAGGCTCTAGAGCCACAGCGCAGGTTCCAACCTCGCGAATCTGCAGTCCTTGAGCGACGCGCCCAACTTCGTCTTCGTTAAGGGCGATGTGATGCCACTTGGCGCAGTACGCTTCATACAGGGAAACCATGCCCAGATGCGAACCATGGTGCTGGAATATTTACCTACACATGACACTGCAAGATCCGCAATTATGCCACATTTATCCCGTGAATTCCACATATTCTTGGGCTTACCATGGCTGTGCATGGGTCAATTTATTGACCCAAAAGAAATTGCGAAAAAAGCTCCTGGAAATGACCGTCAAACATTTTTTCAGCGGCACCAAGCACCACGTTTAGTATTGGTTTCATTCAAAAGAGGTTCCCATGTTTCTCCAAAGTATATAATATAACCCATAGGATCCATGTATGCTATATATAGTAACATTTGCCATCAATATACCGCCAATGTTAGCATATATACCATACATGGATCCTATGGGTAATATATTACTGATTGGTTTCTAGCTCCAATAACTTTGGTTTACCATACTTAAAACATTTTCTGGCTGGTGGTTTGGATCATGAATTTTATTTTCCCATTCAGTTGGGACTTTCATCATCCCAAATGACGAACTCCTATTTTTCAGAGGGGTGGCTCAACCACCAACCAGTGGTGATTAATGGTGATTAATGGTGATTTATAGTGATTAATCATGGTGATTGATATCGATGTTTAATAATGCTTAATGAATTGTTATATAATTGAATTGATGGTCAATGAATGGTTACCACCAACCAGTATATATACCCCCAGCTTTTTTTGCTTCAGTGGATTTGGCAGCAAATTTCAGGCGGCCAAGCCTGGTATTTTTTATGCCATGTGTTACCTGTCTCCAGTGTTTGTTGCTATCAACATATGGCTTTGTCCCGGAAGGGAATATATAATATACAGTTAAGGCCCCAGTTTTACCAGTTATAAATGGTTATAAACTCTTATAAATGTTGTGTTTTATTTTTCCATGTTTATTGGGTTTTTACTAACTGACTTATAACTCGGTGAAACTGGGGCCATAACTGGAACCAAAAAAGTGGCGATTTACACAAAGTGGAACCCCGTAGTTCCTGCTTAAGTTGCTTTATAACTTCATCCTAGTTTCTGAACAAATCAACCTTCATAAACCCAACAGTTCAGTTGTAGCTGCTTCAAATCAAGTCACAGTAAGTCATAGCTATCTTGGGGTCACCACATGGTGCTGACGACTTGTTGCCACCAACTCCCAACTCCCAACTCGACCGAATCAAAAGACGCCACTGAGGTGTGAGAAAACCGTTCGGGAGACGTTGGTTGGGAAGCACGGTGAGATGGGGGGTCTGGGAGAAGCGGCTAAAAACAGGGGATCCCAAAATGGATCCATTGATCCAAAAATGAAGAAAGCCTGGTTTCATCACCACAGACTGGTATGGCTTTAATATGCTTCAACCGACAACAGCAGTCATGTGTAGTGATTTCTGGGGATATCATTGGGACAGTGGGGATTTTTCTATGGACTACCTAGGCAGCCATAAGTATGCATGATTTATGCATTTGTTTCGAAAACAGATTTTTTGTTTGAAACAAATACATTTTTTGATATATTTTCAGAATCAAAGACGTTTTTTGAACATCTTCATATTTTGAGTACGCTGGCATTGTTTGCTTGTTTGGCCGTTTGGGCCGTCATGAAGCAAGGGAACAAATAAGACTTTGTGGGAAAGAATCATCATTTCCGCAAGTGTCACTACTCCATGATAGATCCCACCACAAAATCTTGTGATGGGGCATTGTGGCTTGCACTCACCTGGAATTGATTGGGTGGTCAAAGGCCTTGAGCATACTGTGGCATTGCTTTGCAGCCGTGTTTATGGATGAATTGGGAAATTCCATTTTTTGAACACAATCCCGCCAGAAACAAACGCGGAAATTCCCGGAACAAGCGCGGAAATTTGCGGAACAAACGCGGAAATTCACGGAATGGAGTCCAATCTGGTTTTTGGTTTTGATCCACGCTGCTTCGGGCCATTTTCTGGCACTGACATGTTGCATTTATACCTCAAGAGTTGTACATTAGTCATGCTTCAGTAGATCTTGGTTGTCTAGCTCTTTTATTTTAGATTTGATGGCAGTTTGAGTGGAAAGTCTAGTGAGCTCAGGCTCTGTCAGGACCAAAATCGTTTTACACCCTTAGAGACACTGAAAGTCCCTTAGCTACCAAAACTATCGCTTAAGATCACAACGTGCGCCCGAAGCAAAAAAACAAATACGTTTTCTACATACAAGTACGTTTTTGCCTCAACAAATACGTTTTTTGAGCTCAAATCAGCCGAGTACAAAATTTTTACAACCTTGGGATTTCCAGGTACGGTCTATAGTGAAGCGCGGCGGGCTGTTGGAATCACAGTTTCAAGGTCACGCGGTTCACCGTTTGGGACCTGCGACTCATGGGCAAGCTTTGCAAATCAAGGAACGGTGGCGGGCTTGTGTGGTGGGATTGCATTTGAATATATTTGAATCATTTGAACATGAAGAGCAGAAGACGAGTTTGGAGCCAAGGAGAACAACATCCTGACGACCCTCAACATCCTGACGACGCCAGCCGCAAGTGATCACCCACTCCACATGCAGGTGACCCTTTTTGTTGGCGAAGTTGGGAAGATAGCTACATCAGCATGGCTTGGAAAGGCTCACATCGACCTCCGTGTGAACTACAACGAGAAGCGGCCAAAGCAGAAAATCTGACCACGTCTGCCTGTCTTTGCGAATCCAATGAGCCGCAGCACTTGAAGCCAGAGGCGTTGCTCCCCTTTCGTACTGGGAGCGGTGTGGAACGTCAGCTGCTGAAGAACCGGCAAGAGATTGACAAAACTCAAGTGGGATGGCGTTCATGAGCCAATTTCCTGCTGCAAGAGCATTTCTCGTACAGGTTGTCAAAAACCTATCCATAGGATGGGCCCAGGGCTTTGTTTTCCTTTATGCGGAGGAGGGGGTGTGACACAGTCATTTGTTGCGCAATTTAGGAAGGATTCACAAGTTGTCGCTGTTGCCCTGTCAGTTTTGCTCCTCTTGTTGCCTGCTGCTGTCCTATAGTTGGCTGGTTGGTGGTTTGGAACATTTTTTATTTTTCCATCTATTGAGAATTTCATCATCCCAACTGACGAACTCCATGATTTTTCAGAGGGGTGGCTCAACAAACCACCAACCAGTTGGGCTGATAAAGCAGCAAACATACTGTAACTGGGGGGCCGTTGTAGGATCCACTGGTGATTCTATCCCTACAAACGTTCCCCCACAGCTAGTTTTCTTGGCGAAAAAAATCCATGGAAGCAAGGATAAAAACATGTTGCTATATCCATCATACAAATCATGAAACTATAGTTGTTCAAAACCAACACTCTGCAAACTGCTGGACACTACTTTGTAAAATGTTGTACATAGTAGAAAAGGTGATCCATCACAAGCCCTATGACTGCCCTATTTCAAGCCATATGCATATTTGGGGGTGCAGTTCCAATTATAAGATGTCATGCAAACCATAGTTATAGGGGTCCTATATCCCAACCATGGAGGGTTATCACCATGGTTAAACACATTTGTAACCCCTGCCGCACCACCAAGTAGCCATTTTTACTATAATTATCCCATGTTTAATACTTCTTTAAGTCCCAACTGTGGATGGAAGAAATCTTGCACCACCAATTTTGGATGGTTGAAACCTTTAGGATAATCCACCTATCAACTGGTGCAGGATTTCGCTGGCCCATCCATTGTATGAAATCCTGGTGTCGCGGGGAGTCGGGGCCGAGATGGGCCGAATGGGCCGAGGTCTCTCATCAGCTGGACACGGTCATGCACTTCGCAGTAGGGGCCTGAAAAGTTTGTGCTTTGCAGCTGGCTGGATTGGGGCACCATACATGGCTTATTTCAAAAGTTATAGATGAAACTCCACAGGGAACCCTTTCTGTATACATCGACGGAAATATCATCGGACTAGCATCCTGTTGAAACACTTTTCTATCATACGTTAGGAACCCCCAGAAAGATAGAAAGGTGTTTTCAAGATGTTAGTTCGATCATATTTACCTCATATTTCCAGTTTGCGAACGATTCTATCTATTTGGAGGGTGCTATACCCATATATTGGGGGATGGTCATATGAAAGTCAGTGGGGTCATGCTCACTACGTGACATGTCAGGGTCATGCTCACTACGTGACATGTCACCACTTGCTTGTATGAAAGGCCTCGCAATCATTTGGGTTCACAAGGGCCCTTGAAGCCAATCACGGCTTGGCGAAACGGAGAAATAGAGTGGAGTGATTTGGTGTTGTGGTGAGGGATTAATAACCCCTATACAACTGACGGTATTCGCTGCCGTAATTTCATGGTAGCGGAGCAGGAGATCTGTGACCTGCTTCCGCGCACGACCTCGCGGTCTTTGTGAGGACATTTTGTCCTATCCTGGAAACTGAGGCCTTTCGGCCAATCTGGTGGCCACCAACATGGATGGTGGCAAAGACGCACTGAGGGATGTTTCATTTGATGGAAAACCCTCAGGGTACCGTGACTTTCGTCGCAAGACATTGCTGGCGATCGCTGGGTTGGAGGACAAGCATGCACACCTAGCAGGTCCCCGACTCCTTTCGCGACTGAGTGGTGAAGCCTGGCGTGCCACTGAGCACCTTAACATTTCTCAGTTGAGATCGCCTGATGGTTTCATGGTTGTGATCAAAGCACTTGATGAGCATTATAAATTCCTGCCTGAGACAGAGTTACATGAGAGCATAGATGAGTTTCTTTTCGCACTGAAACGTCGACAAGGTGAAGGAGCCACTGCCTTTGCAAGTAGGTTTAGAACTCAGCTTGCCAGAGTTGAAACACTGATCAGCCAGGAACGTGAAATGACTCGTTCCAAGCGCCGTCGCACAACTGAAAAGCCTGGAGACATCCCACCCGTGGATGAGCTGTATGAGTCCGAGTTGGAAGAAACTGCATCGGAAGGAGCAGGAACCGAACATCCTGCTGAACCTGCCAGACCCGAAGCTGAGCCGACCAGTGGCACAGCTGATGCATCCGAAGCTGCTCCACCTGCAGCTGAGCCTGGCCAGCCGGCCAGAGGCCCTGGAACTGCATCCGTCACCAATTCAAATAGGTCTCGCAAGAAACAGCTCTTATGGCTCTTATGAGAAAGACTGGACAAAGGCCCAGGCCAAAATGCAGCAGATGCTTGGAACCTTGGAGATGGGGCATGTCAAGCCCAAACCAATATTTCCTCAATCTGTCCTTGGCCATTTGTTCCTGCGTAAGTATGGTCTTTCCCGAGAGCAACGTGCCCAAGTAGTTCGCTCGACCAATGGATCCTCCAGGTTCATCGATGTTGAACGAATCTTGAGAGCATCGGACTTGGAAGAAAGCCACAAGTCCGAAGATCGTAGACCTCAACGTCCGAGTCGTCGGGAAGCCTATGCAGTTCAAGAACATGTCCATGCAGTAGAACAAAGTGATTCTTCCAGCCTTGCAGCCGTAGATACTGATGATTCCATGTCCAATGACGACGTCATGGCCGTCGACCAAATGGATTCCAGTGAAGAAGAGTTTCAAAATGAATTGCAAGAAGTTTATGAGTTGCAAAGGAAGTCAAAAGAGAAGTTCCGTAAGTCATTCAAGACTTACAAAGATACGAAGAAGAGAGTCAAAGAACTGAAGAGGAGCAGACAGCCATACTATCCTGTAGTCGCCTTGACACAGCCTCAAGATCAGAGTCAGCCCTCGCAGTCTTCTCAGAACCAAGCACCTTTGCAAAAGTCCAACTTCAAGTATGACAAGAAATCATCGAGCAAGCCTTATGTCAAGGGTAAGAAAGATGGCGGCCGTCCTTCCAAGAAGGAAGAAGCAAACATGACCGAGTCTGTGCTGGTCAGTTCATTTGCATACATGGTAGAAGCCTCTCCAAGTTTTGCAACTGCAGCCAACACATGGACCTCCGAAGAAGTTTTGCTTGCAAGTATTCCTGAAGGTCATGCAATTTTGGATACGGGTTGCACAACGTCAGTCATAGGAAGTGACACAGCAGCCAAGTTTCAGGAGTTCTTGAGACGCCGCAACTTGCCTCAGCCTGCAGAATGTGATTTGCCTCCGGTTGAACTAAAAGGGTTTCAAGGTGGTAAGGTCGAAACGACCACTGGACTTCGTTGGCATGTCAAGCTGGGATCTTTGTGGGGGTCAGTCACTACGTACGTTGTGCCTGGTCAGACACCATTTCTGTTGTCGCGCAGAGTCCTGGAAGGTATGAAGGCCAAACTTGACCTCGGCCAAAAGTCCATTACAAGTGAGCACCATGGTATGTTCAATGTGCCGTTACGGCAAGCTGCCAATGGTCACTTCTTGATGCCGCTGTATGAGATTCCCAATGATTTCCATGTAGAAGAATCACAGCTTGCAGAATCGATGATTCGTGCTGACGCCCAGCCATGTCAGCCTGAGTATGAGCCCAATGGTGCAGAAGCTGCCGAAACTCCAACGCCATCCGAGCCCTTGCAGAGCCCTGGCCCATCCGAGGACCAGTGTGTAGTTGAAATCAAAAGGGATAAGGGTAAGCAGCAATCCATATTGACCTTGACCAGAGAAGGTGAGTTTTCTGTATCTCCTTGGTCAATCCGCCCTGCAGGATCCACCAGATGTCGTGTCCCACATGTGAGCATAGCCATGTTTGCATATCGCCCCGTGACATCCGAGATGTCAGCACAGCCAAAAGCCACCCGGTCAGCCGACCGTAATGCTGAGCCATGTTGCTATTGTTGTAATGAAGTTGAACATGATCACGGGACTCATGATAATGGGGACAATGGGAAAGATGATTTAGAAATGTTGTATGAAGAAATGGACTGGTTGGACATCAACACTGAACCAATTCCAAAGGAAACACAGGAAATGTTGCTTGCTTCCATGACGTCTTTACGTCGCACACAAGCTCAGTTGGTCATGACCAGAGTTCATGAGGAGCCTGAAGCGGTTCGTCGCGAGCTCAGTGAATGGTTAGGCCCACAAAGCACAGCCTTGGACCAAAACGTCCAATTCCTGGAAGTTTTCACAGGTAAAGCACCTCTTGCAAAACGGGTTGAAGAGAAACTTCAAGTGCCAAGCATTCGAATCGGTTTAGAATATGGTCATAACCTTGATCAACTCAAAGACCGTAGGATGCTTATGACCCTTATTGCATATGTCAGGCCACGTCATGTCTGGTTTTCATTTCCTTGTGGATGTTGGGGACCATGGAGCCGTTTTAACATGTCAAAAGGAGGTTCTTGCCGTGAAAAGATTGTTGCTCAGAGGGCGAAAGCCCGACGACACCTGCATGCGGTCACCGAAGCCTGGGCACTCCAAACAGCCCTTGGAGGACACTGTCATTGTGAAAACCCCTTAACCAGTGAAGCTTGGGGAGAACTTTGTCTAGGAGAAGTATATGACATTCGTGTTGACCAATGTGCCTTGGGTCTTCGTTGTCCAAAAACTCGGTTGCCAGTCCTCAAGCCGACCCGACTGGTCACCTCTCAGCGTAGTTTTGCCGAAGGCATGCAGCAGTATCGATGTGATCACCGCCATCAACATGGACATCTGGAGGGTAAGTATAAGGGGAGAAACCTGTCTAGCATAGCTGAAACTTACCCCACAAAATTCTGCAATGTTGTGTCCGAACTGATTGTCCAAGATGTCCAGCAGAACGACATGCCTCCAGCCAGCACTCAAGAGTATGTCTATGCGTTGGACGACGATGAGCTTGCAGAAGATATGCCAGTTGAAGCACCAGCCGGTGACGCACAGAAGCAACAAGTTGAGAAAACAGCACGAGCAAAACAAATTGTGATGAAACTTCACATCAACACTGGACATGCATCACCGGAGCAGATGATGCGCCTGGCAAATCGTTGTCATTCATCAGACACTGTCAAAGATGCCATCCGCCATTTTAAATGTTCTGTTTGTGAAGAACTTAAGTTGCCTACTTTGAGACGCAGTGCCACGATGCCTCATGCAGACCAGCCAAACCAAATAGTTGGGGTAGACTATGTCCAAGTAGAACTTAAAAGGGATGAAGAAAATGGGGATATGGTAGAACGTAAGTTTAATGTCTTGACCTGCGTGTGTCTGGGAACTGACTTTTGCCAGCAGATTGTCGTGCCAGGATTCGGCCAGGGCAATCTCTCCAAAGCGTTTCATGCAGTTTGGACCCGTCCGTATGGTGCACCTAAGACAGTTTACATGGACCCTCAACAAACCAATTTGTCAAAGGACTTTCAAGCTTATTTGCGCCATTATGGAATCAACCTATTGCATTGTGCCGCCGACAGCCATTGGCAGATTGGCCGTGTAGAGATTGCCAACCGTGTCTTGAGAGACATGGCACGTAGAACTTGGAGGACAACCAGCCGTCCTGTTGAAGAAGTGATTGAAGCATGTTCCAGCGTAAGAAACCAACTGCTGAGAAAATCAGGATTCAGTCCTGCCCAATGGTTCTTAGGACAAGACACACGTCATGCCGGTTGGTTGATAGATGTCGAGGCTCAGGAAAACCCTGCAGTACAGTCTCAGATCATCACCGATCCATCCTTTCAAGCCAAAATGCACCTTCGTGAGGATGCAGCCAGAGCCTTCCTTGAGGCTCATGCTAAGGATGTTTGGCGTAGAGCCATTGCAAGTCGCAACAGGCCATTACGAGGTCCATACATGGTTGGTCAGTTAGTGTACATGTTCCGTAGGAGGGGCAAAGGTCAACTGACAACACGTAATGATTTCTGGAATGGTCCTGGTAGGGTAATCGGTGTCGAAAGTTCCACAGGACACCATGTACCAAGAATAGTATGGGTTTCATGGAATGGATTTATCTACAAGTGTTCACCTGAAGGATTACGTCCAGTTCCAGAAGATGAAAGTGAATTCCGTCGTCTTGCCAAACAATTGTCAGAAGGTAGGTTGCATCCGGAAGCCGAAGCTGCAGAGCAGAACTTGCGTGAAAAAGCTGGCCAGTTTCATGACCTGACGCAAGAACTACCACCTGATGATAATGACTTTGAACTAGAAGATGATGTACAGGAAGAGCCTGATGATGATGACATGGGAGGGGATGACAATAACGATGATGATGATGATAACCCCCCTAGACGGAAATCCACCAAACGTCCTAACTTGGAGGGCGATGATGGGCTCCCTGCCCCCCGAAAAATCCGTGTTCGTTTCAACCGATCCCCAGAGTATTGGCAGAAACGTAGTAGAGGGATGCCACCATTAGGTCCAATCCAAGAGGGCGATGAACCCACTGTCTTGACACAAATTCCTGAAGAGCCACCGGCTCACCGCAGAAAACTAAATGATGGGCAACCCGCTGAAGATGAACACCCATATGAGCCAACAACCCCAGCTCATTCACCTAGAAATGAAGTAGATGAATCAATGGAACCCCAAGAACAGCCATCCTCAGTAGCTGTTGAGCCGTCAGAAGTGCCTGAAGCTGCAGCATCAACAGCAGATGCACCGCCAGCCGAAGCCGCAGAGCCTTCAGCTCCCAGCCTTCCTCCGCATGAGGTGCCAGTACCAAATGATGATGAAGACCTTCTGGTCTCTGGTAAAAAGGTGGAACAGGTTCTTGAGGTATCCCTGGATGTGTTTGCAACAGATGTGTGTGACGATTCCCATTTCCTATGGGGAGTACTTGATGAGTGTTTCATGGCAACCCCTGCAGCAGCCAAACAACGCAGGGTAGAAGTAAATTTCCGGAAGTTGAATGACCATGACAAAAAGTTGTTTGAAAAAGCCATGCAAAAGGAGTGGAACTCATGGGTAGAAAACAAGGTCACCACTATTTGTAAATCCAAGGGAATCCCAATTGATAGAATAATAAAAGCTAGGTGGGTGTTGGTATGGAAAAAGTCTTCAGATCCCGATGAAAAGCAGCAAACCCCGAAGGCTAGGCTAGTTTTGGTGGGTTGGCAGGATCCAGAGTTGGGTCGAATTGCCACGGATAGCCCCACGCTCCGAAAGGAATCCAAAAGTTTAGTACTTTCTCTGTGCGCAGCCATGCACTGGAAGTTGTGGGGAGCCGACATCAAAACGGCGTTCTTGTCGGGTGATCCTTCGAATAGGGAAATCTACTTTCGTCCCCCACCTGAGATTAGACAATGGATGAAACTTGATGAAGGGGATCTCATGAAATTGGAAAAAGCAGCATATGGGTTAGCAGAAGCACCCCGAGCATGGTTCTTACGATTAACCCGAGAAATGAATGCTGTAGGACTTTCCCAATCCAAACTAGATCCATGTCTTTTTGTTTTAAGGAAAAAGGGAAAACTGTGTGGGATTTGTGGAATACATGTTGACGATATTCTAGGAGGAGGAACAAAAGAGATGGATGAAGTTCTTTCCCAACTCAAAAGCAAGTTGCCATTTGGGGATTATCGCACTTTCACAATCCGATACACGGGGGTAGAAATCCGACAGAACCCATCGAACTATAGCATAGAAGTTGGCCAGGAGTCCTATATAGAAGGGTTGAACCAGGTAGCAACTAAGCCACTGGGTAGTGCTGGCACCGCGCTGTCCAATCCAAGCCTTTTGAGGCAGTGCGCAGGACAGTTAGCCTGGGTAGCAAATTCAACTCGGCCAGATCAGGCGTTCCTGTCGTCTTACTTGCAGGGCATGCAGGACAAAGGAACCGTGTCCCATGTGCAGCTTTACAACAAGGCAGTCCGTGAGATGAAGGAAAATAAGATTTGCCTCAAATTCCCTAGTGATGTTCCCATTCAAGACTGGCGCATCATGGCCATAAGTGATGCTGGTTGGGGTACTAGAGGAAACGGTGAGTCTCAAGGTGGATACTTGTTGTGCCTGGTAGCCAGTCCCATGCTTCAGCAGAAGCCTGCACGATGTTGGATCGTTGATTGGTCGTCAAAGAAATTGCGCCGTGCAGTTCGTTCATCAGTAGCAGCAGAAACTCTAGCAGGACAGAATGGTCTGGATGCCATAGAGATGTTCCAAGCACTAATGGCTGAAACAATAGATGGAATATCCCCAAAGGAGTTTCGTAATCTCAAGCCTCAACATCCAGCTGCACTTGTAGTGGATTCAAAAGGGTTTTACGATGCTGTCACAAGAAGTTGCTGCAGTCAATCCATTTCAGTTGAACGTAGGCTTCAAATTGATTATGCCATTGCTAAGGAAACTATGGAGAATCAAAACATAATAGCCTTTTGGATCAACCACTTGAGAATGGCCGCAGATGTGCTTACCAAACTCAAAGCAGACAATCGTCCCCTCTTTGATTTACTCAAAAACTGGATGTACCATATCAAACCATGCACCGAGTCAGGCAGAAAAGAGAAGGCAAAAGGGAACCCTGGCATTTTGCCAACACAATAGCTACTGCAATCCAAGAGAGCCTCGCCAGTCGTTAGCATCCACCATGCATGTATAGTGTATAATAACCATGGGGAAATCGATAGGTCTGGGCCCTAATAACCTTGTGAATATGGCTGATAACCTTAAGGGTAATTTTCCAAGTTTTTGCAAGCCAGTTGTACAGTGCCGCCTGTTTTTGCAGCGTCTCTTCATGAGTGCAGCTTTTTGGAAATTCAGTCAGACTTCCGACTCCGCCGATCTTAGCTGATTTGTAGCCTAGATGTCCGGCCGCATGTCGAAGCTTTCGAAGACCGATTCCACCGGCCCTTTGTCTGAGGTGGAAGTCAGCCGTTGTGCCGAACTGGTTCATCGAGCCATCGTGCATGAGCAGGGATGGCGCCTTGTTCAAGCGGTTGGCCGCCACATTCATGGCCGTGGCACCGAGGTTCATGTCCAGGACTTGCTTGACAAAGTCCAACAAGGCATGAGTGATGCCTCGAAGCGCCGTCTGGATACCGATTCAGAGTGGGAGGCCCTGACAGAGCAATGTGGAACGGAGCCCCGTGATGAGGATCCGAGCCTTGACTTCGCAGAGGGCTACAAGTCACCCCTGCAGAAGCCGTGCGCTTCTGGTGCTCCTATGGCGTCATACGCACCCGCTGGAGGTCAGGTGGTCATTCCCCTGCCGCCCGGTGTGCAAAATGTGAATGAGTGGGGCCGCACGATTATCAAGATGAAGAAATACAGTGACGAGAACATCACCTATGATGAGCTCATCTACCGTGCGACCAACTGCACAGAGACAGCCCGCTACATTCAGTGGATCCGATCCAATTACACGCCTGCCAATGAAGACATTGAGAAGTGCAAGAAGACCCAAGCGGTTGATTTTGCTTTGTACCTGAAGAAGATCAAGTGGCAGCGTCAGGAAACCTCGGAATTCACTCGATGCCTGAAGTGAAGCGTTGAGACAAGGAAGCATGAATGATGGCTGAAATGATTTTCTCAGCCTGAGGGCGTATGAAGGTCAGTGGGGTCATGCTCACTACGTGACATGTCAGGGTCATGCTCACTACGTGACATGTCACCACTTGCTTGTATGAAAGGCCTCGCAATCATTTGGGTTCACAAGGGCCCTTGAAGCCAATCACGGCTTGGCGAAACGGAGAAATAGAGTGGAGTGATTTGGTGTTGTGGTGAGGGATTAATAACCCCTATACAACTGACGGTATTCGCTGCCGTAATTTCAGTCACCAATCCCCCCCGAGTTGTAAGTTTGTTTATAATACTATATATATATATATATATACATAAGTATAGTTTTATCCACCATAAACCATGCTTAGCCATATGCCTTAAATAACATATATCATCAAGTATAAATCACTTATCAGTTCTGAAATTCAACTATTCAAGGTATTTGTTTATTTCTGATAGGTTTCATCCTAACAATCCTTGATTTATACAAGAAAAATCCATAGTTCTAAGGATTCACCTAACAATCACTTGTCATTTGTATATGTTTGTTAGGTGAACAACACACAAAATAAACGAGCAGAACACACTTAAATCACTCGGCGACAGGACCATGTCTCTGGGGTTTCTGCATCCCAGTGGTATCCCGTTGTGGTCTGCATTTTCTGAAAAAAAACATCCGTTTAGAACTCGGGAGATTCCATGAATCCGTTGGAACCTGCTATGAAAAAATCGATTCACTGGGATGCCTGGGATGCACTGCAGCCGATCATCACCAGATTTTTCGTTTTTTGACAATTCGATGGTTTTTGTGACTTAACAATCGGTGTTTCTCTGGTTGGTGGTTTGGAACATGAATTTTATTTTTCCATTTATTGGGAATAGTAACCCCAACTGATTAGTATTTTTCAGAGGGGTGGCTCAACCACCAACCAGTTCTGCAAGTTGAATCACCCATTTTTTGTTGTTTAAACCATCTGATTGCTGGTGAACTCACCCATTTCTTTTGCTGTTTCTAGCATTTTGAGCCATGATAAAAGAAGCACCACGATACTGGTTTAAGCAACAAAAAATCACATTTTTTCTGATGAATTTACCAATTTTTACTGATGAAATCACCATTTTTCCTATCTTTTTGTAAGTGAAATCACCATGTCTGTCGCAAAACATCGAAATTTTCCCGTTCAAAAAATATCCGCCATCTCATCTAGGCGCAAACGCACGTGGACCGGTCCTTTGTGGTGCCTCTGAAGTTTAGCGAGGCCGTTGCACTGGGTCCATTTTTTATTTTTCCGAGGGGTAGATTACTAGGTCAATCTTAGATGGATACCATGGAAATCCCCATCAAGTCCCATAAAATCCCAGTAAATCCCATGAAATCACTATTAACTAGGTCAATCTTAGATGGATACAAAAAAATCCTTTAGTCTTTTGGTATCAATGGGATTATCTACTGTACTAACCAGCTAAGAATTTATTTTTTTGCAGGGTATCTAAGATTGGCCATGATTAGAATATTTTTTCAGATTGCGGGAATGACTGGAATGTGGATTTGTTTAGGAAGATAACCAATATTAAACAAGTCTTGGTACTCAATTTTGACTCATATATCATGTGGGTTGTCAAAAACCCTTAGAAAAAAACGAGCAAAAATAGGGATGATGAACAAACATGGTGTGAAATAGTGTTTATAGAGGGCCATGGTGTTACATGTATGTATATATATATATAACTAATTGCGGGCCATGATCAAAAAGTTGGATTGCAAAACCATTTTAGGGGATGGTCATCTATCGATTCATAGGACTTTATATATCCATTATCTTTGGGTTCACATGTTCATAGGATGGATGACTACAAACAATATATCATGTTTTGACCATAGCACATATGTGTTCAAACCATTCAAAAGCCCTTAGAACTGAGTAACTGGTGATATAATGAGATATTCATGGGATATTGATTGCTGGTTGGTGGTTTGGAACATGAAGTTTATTTTTCCATATATGGGGAAAAATATCCCCAACTGACTTTCATATTTTTCAGAGGGGTGGCTCAACCAGCAACCAGATGGAATATTGGTTGAAATGCCCGCCAGGAATCAAACGGCTGGAAAATCCCCTAGAAATGGAGGTTTCGAGGATGGGAACATCAAGTGATGGTGAATAGAAATGGTGGATTTTCACTTGCCATGTTTGGTTACAAGAGGGTATCTGGAGGGTCGTTTCAAACATGAATGGATTATTTTCCATTTCATATGAATATATATGAATGGATAGTCATCCTTCCCGTTGACGAAATCATATTTTTCAAGATGGTTATTGCACCACCAACCAGGTATAATCAATTATAAACGGTATAAACGAGGACTTAACCAGTTCACTTCACCAACTGAAAAGTGAGGATTTCTCTCGCATCAAACACGGGAATCCAATGGAATTGGAAGACTTGCAAAAAGCCCTGTTTTGGAATCAGATTTCTATGATCCAAGAATTAGTGGTTGGTGGTTTGGAACCATGGAATGGATTATGACTTTCCATTTATTGGGAATTTCTATGATCCAAGAATTAGTGTTTAAGTGTTTTTTTAGAAAATGTTGCTCCAGCTTTTGACGTCCATCATCTTCTTTGAAAACGTCGAGCCCTTCCAGAGGTCGAACTGGATATTTGATCGCTGGGAGACTCCCCGGGATTTGAACCTGAAGTGGACACTGAAACGAAACTAACTGACATGACAGTTGTTTTGAAAATAGCTCTCAGGTGAACATGAATTGTGGTGAAATGTATCTGGTCGGTGGTTTGGAACATGACTATTATTTTCCAAAATATGAATGGATAATCACGAAAGGTAGCTCCAGAGGGGCTACCTTGAGTTTTACTTTACGAAGTAAAGGGGAGGGCGGCCAGCCCCGTTACCTGATTCTTCAGGAGATTGCTAGTCATTTTAGTTCCCCCCCCCCTCCACACCTCCCACGCACCCTAAGAGCAGACTCAAAACATTGTAATTTACAGTATTTTTGTTCTTTTCGGATCAAGAAACCACATTTTGCTACATGGTGAAACCTCCGTAAATACCAGTGTTTTTGCTAGGTGCTGGCCAAAAAACACTGTAAATACCGTGCTTTTTACTACCAGAGGCAAAAAACATCGTAAATACCGTGGTTTTGGGCTTCCGACCCGCCAAAAACATCGGTATTTACGGTGTTTTTTTGCTCTGAGAGTTGCAAAAACACGCGAAAACACCACCGATTTGACGATTTTCGGCCACTACGGAACCGAGCAAAAACGCTGCAGGGGTAACACCAACAACAGCAACAGCAACAGCAACAACAACAACAACAACGACGACAACGACAACAACAACAACAACAACACCAACACACAACGCACAACGCACAACGCACAACGCACAATGCACAATGCACAACGCACAACGCACAACGCACAACGCACAAAACACACAACACACACACACAACACACAACACACACAACACACACAACACACACAACAACACACCACAACACACACACACAACAACACACAACAACACACGCAACACACAACAACACACAACAACACACCACAACACACAACAACACACAACAACACACAACAACACAACAACACACAACAACACACAACAACACACACAACAACACAAACAACACACAACAACACACCACACAGCAGCACACACAGCGAAGCACACACGATACACGACCACGACACAAACGATTGCACATCGAACATCAGCAGCAACACACAACAACACACCACAACACACCACAACACACAACAACACACAATAACACACAATAACAGAGCACAGAGCAACACCAAAGCAACCCACGGAACAAGACGGCAGACGTAATACAACTCCAACAAGCGACAAGCAACAACGACAAGGGTAAAACAGAGAGAAAAACAAATCATAAACAGTCAACGTAACTCACAGCAACCTAAACACACAACAACACACAACAACACACAACAACACACAACAACACACGCACACAACAACACACAACAACACACCACAACACACAACAACACACAACAACACACGCAACACACAACAACACAACAACACAAACATACTACAAAAACAAACGACAATGACCAACAATGTAACAATAAATAGAATCAACAACAAAAAACAAGTAACAAACACACAAACCAACGAAAGCACACCACAACACACAACAACACACAACAACACACGCAACACACAACAACACAACAACACAACAACAACACACAACAACACACAACAACACACAACAACACACACACACAACAACACAAACAACACACAACAACACACCACAACACACCACAACACGCACAACAACACACAACAACACACAACAACACACAGCAACACACAACAACACACCACAACACACCACAACACACAACAACACACAATAACACACAATAACACACAACAACAACAATAATAATAATAATAACAATAACAACAACAACAACAAAAACAACAACAACAACAACAACAACAACAACAACAACAACAACCACGACGACGACGACGACAACAACAACAACAACACCATCATCAGCAGCAGCAACAACAACAACAGCAACAACAACAACAACAACAACAACAACACGAACACAAACAATACCAACACCAACAACACGACCAACAACACCAACACCACCAACAAACCCAACCACACCAACAACACTAACAACACTAACAACACCAGAAACACTACCACCACCAACAACACCAACAACACCAGAAACACTACCACCACCAACAACACCAACACCACCAGCACCACCAACACCACCAACACCACAACCACCACCAACCCCAACCACATCGCCGAAGCCTTTCAGTCGCTTTTACCAGACTCCCCTTCATTTTTTCTTCGGTTCCTTTCTTGCTTATTGCTTACCTACCTTTCGTGTTCCCCCTCTCAAGTTTAATCCTTCCCACTGACGAAATCATATTTTTCAAGATGGTTAAAACCACCAACAAGTTCTCATTTAGTTGGAACTGCACCCCCAAGTTACCTCAATTTTCGCTGCACTATCACATTCTTTGTGTACCTCCTTCGATCCCCAATATGACAGACAGGGGGTACATACTTAGACCGCCAAGTTCCCTTTGTAAAAGTCCCAAGTCAAGATCGGCTGATTGGTGGTTTGGAAAATGAATGGATTATGACTTAGCTTGATCCCAAACCAATGGTTTCCTAAGGCTCTTTAGAGAGATGACGTTGCCATGTACATGTAGATGTGGGTGACATACGTAAGACATGTCGTATATGGTTGCACATGCTAACGCAAGACAGCGCGCAAGCAAACATCAAAGCAAACATAAGCCGACGCATAGCCAAACACATAACAACACATAGGATGACATAAGAGTTTCACAAGTGCAAACGCATGTTAAACACAAACAAACGCAAACGCCGCTTGCCAACACCACAGCGGCCCTTCGTCGCATTACAGGTCCCTGACTAGGGCACAGGGCGGGAGGCACAAGGTCAGTCAGAGAGATATGATATGATATGATGATATGATTGATGTTACTATGATTGACGATAATGATAACGATGTGCTGCAGTAGCGTGACACAGTAATCATCATCACCATCATCATCATCACTATCATCGTCCTTGTCATGATCAGCAGGAACGGTCGTTTGATTTGGCCGGTTTGTTTTGAAGCTGGTTGCTGCAGAAAGTGAAAGCATGTCTGACAAACATAGAGTGTGAAAACGATATGTAGATATATGAACTTAAGACCATGGACCATGGACCATGCGCAGGTCAATCGACATTGAAGGTTTTGGCATGTGCAGTGACACCGGGAAATGATGTTTCACATATGTACTGTCAATGTTGGTATATGTGCGAGACGTGTGTGCTATGTGGGTGACTTGTGTTAGATATGTGAAGAGACATGTGCACCTTATGTGTCAGGCATGTGTTCAACACATGTATTTCACATACAGTGCATTTTTATACACATATGAACACAAAGCTTAACACTACAGGATACATCAGGAACATTTACAGATGCACATGTGGTCACACATGTATTAACACAAGCTTAGGCAAAAGGCGGCGCATGTCTTGCGCATACCGTCACATATCAAATCGCATGTTGATTTGCGCACTGCATATGTTTTGTTTGTGTATGTGTTTGTGTTGGTTAGTGTTGCCATATGTGTTAATTATATGTTTTTATATGTGCCAACATATGTATAAGATCTTATTTTCTCAAAAATTTGCAATTTTAAGATCTTATACATATGTGTACACATATGCAAACACATAATTACACATATGCAAGCACATATGCAAACACATGTATTACATTTACATTACACATATGTGTCATATGTGTCTCATGTGTACTCATATGTACCCACATGTGTGCGTACATGTGCCTGCTTGCGCGCGCTTAGTGTACAAGTCAATGTTGACATGTGTCAGCACATGTGTATAAGACCTTATTTTTCAAAAATAAGATCTTATACACATACATAAACACTAAAAAAACATAAGCAGAGACATGCGTATAAGATCTTATTTTTCAAAAATAAGATCTTAAACATATACAAATACATAAGCAGAGGCATGTGTATAAGATCTTATTTTTCAAAAATAAGATCTTAAACATATACAAACACATAAGGCAAGACATATGTATAAGACCTTATTTTTCAAAAATAAGATCTTAAACATATACATAAACACTATTACACAATGCCATACACACTACATTTCACTCATATATACTTGCACATGCATATGTGTATACCGGTATGCCATAGGTTACTGTTTAGGTTGAGTGTCAGCGATGGAGTACCCATATGTTATATCAGTATCAGTTATATATATCTCTTATCTTATGTCACGATTTGAATCAATGATGATTCCGAATGGAAACAGTGGAAATTGAGCGCAGCACCATGCACCAGCACAGGCTCCCATCAACGCAAAGACCGACCCAGCTGAGGGACAGTTGGAAAATGTGTTGCATTGACAGTGCTGTGCGAAACCGTTTTTGCACTTCATCACTTATCACTGATCCCCGATGCCTATCACTCATCACCGATGCATTCAGACTTCTTGCATTTTACATCTTTAATTTTCATAACTATGACATTATCTTTTTTTAAATTTGTATGATGATGATGTGGGTGATATGACGACTCATATGTGAACATTGCCAACATCATATATGAGATATGTTTGCATATGCGTTAATGTAT